TTATTAACACAGAAAAACCGGACGACATATGGAGAACCTACAACTCTTTACCATTTAAAACAAGAAACAAAACACAGCTAAGATGGTTCCAATACCGTATTATTCGAATAACGATTTGTACAAGTATAAAAGTATAACTTCCTTACAATGTTTCTTTTCACCACTGAAACTGAAATCTTCTCCCATTTACTATTTGAATGCACACATGCAAAAATGTTGTGGCAGCACCTGATAAGTGGATAGAGAAAAGAACTGGTAATATAAAAACTATAGATAAGATTCACAATTTGCCTATACTACATGTATTGTATATGTATCACAGTAGAATATCTTCATATGCCTATGTTGACCAACAAAATGTAATACAGTATTGACATAGCATGTTCTATCTGTACCGAAGAAATAACGTGATGAAAATAAACAGTGGATGTAGCATTCATGATTTAATGACGAATTTCAAAATAAATTTGATGATAAAGAGGATGATGGAAACTTGATAAGACCTCCGCAGCAGATGTGGATATCAACATGTAGTTCTGTGCCCTGTGGTGTAACTATTTCGTGTACAAGACCTAGGAGAAGTAACTACTGACAGACAGATGTAAGGAAAGTTACAACCTGGCCACAGAGCCCGCAAACCTGCATAATCCGTGCAGTCGATAACAACATCAGGAGAGGAATGTGCACAACTACAGTGCATGTGTCGAGTTGACGTGGCCTACTGACCATGGCCCATGGCCCATGTACATTAGACCCGTGAAGATCCGGGGTAGAATAGGTCTTCAGCAACCCATGCTTGCCTTAAATGGTGACTATGCTTGTCGTAAAAGGCGACTAACGGGTGGTCAGGCTCTCTGACTTGGTTGATGCATGCCATCGATCCCAGTTGCTGAAGACCTATTCTACCCCAATAAGCTGAAAGAACCATCTCCAAAGCAGGTGTCATCTGCGGCCAAATGCGGTATATACTGGTTTCAAATATCTTCATCTTTTCTTTGGAATGCAGGAGGAATGAGTGAGTTGAACGCAGGTTTTAAATTATTCAACTTATAATCACGTGGTGTCAGCTTGATGTGGGAGGAAAGCACGACGTGATGCAGTTAGACGTTTACCACTTCGGTGAAACCCAGGAGCACGGGTATGGTGCTGACAAACCTAGAAACATAATCGAGGCGAACCGGTATTCGAACCCACAATCATAGGTTTCTGGCATGCCCAAGGAATGCAACTCTGCACAGCGACTTGCGACGCCTTAGACGACTGGGACACACGTAATGCAGGGAAAATCATCATCACTTGAAGTCTGCGGGTAGGACAAGGCAAGACGGATGTCAGATCGGTGACGTGGCAAGGGCGGCAGGTCTTTGGCTCTGGAACGTTACAGGCTGGACTTGACACAGCAGAAGGTTGATGCTGCAATCTCTCTTACTGCGCTTGCTCAAAGACACACAGACATGAGGAAACCATCATTACTGAAGATAGTTTGAGAATATGGTGTATTGTAATTCCATTCTCACATTTACATATTTATAATTACAAACGATTTTATTTCCTAAGCAAAGAAACAAACCACTTGTCCAAACTGTACATAATAATTACCTGGCTGTTGAAGTTATAGGTCAATATGTAATTGAATGACTTTCTTTCAACAAGTACATATTACTTCAGTAATTACCATGGAATGAATCGATGTCACTGTATGTTCTTCTCTCAAGCACTGTTTTTCTTTCGCTTGTTAGGAGGTGTCAATGTTGCTACAATCTTGGACTACATTCTTCCTGTACAGTTGTGGCATATTCTCAAATATTTTCGCCTCAACGTTGTTAAGCGTCGATTCCAAAAAAGAAACAGTTTGTTGACCCAAAATATGTACGTAAAAGTGTGAAACCATCAAACAACCAACAAGTGGTATACAGTCAACACATGTATTACAAAATTAACTAGGTTTACAAATTACTGCACAGCAGTTACAATGTCAGTATACAATAGAGTGGTGGTACACTATTCAGTGACAGTATATAATATGATGGCATGGGTCAGTATCAAATACAAAAACAGAGTGATGATAGCAAAACTCAGTGATAATAATATATCCACCCAGCAGCGACAGTGGTCAAGAGATGGCCTAGGCAAGGAACTCGAAGTTATGAGTGCTCCTCACACGAAAGCTGGTCTTGATGAAATGAAATGTGTGAGAGTAAATTACTCAGTTTGTATTAATTTCGCCTTGGTCTCGTCTGTGTAAGGTGTAACTCTATGAGATTAACGACAAGGGATGTGTCTATATAATTCCAGAACATCCAACATGTGGTAACCCTAATAACCCTAATTTACTCAGTTCCAAAAGTGCGTGATAAAGCTAAGACTAGATACCAAAAGAGATACACACACGCCCCATTCTTGACAGATAGTCTGAGCATTATCTAGATATTCATTAGAATTGTTCCAGGTTGCGAAATACACAACTTCCCTTATCTGTTGTCAAGGCTTGGCAGCACCTGCTGTCTTCCAGCACCTCAGCCGATATCAGAGATAATATACTTCTACATGAAGTAACAGTCAGCATGTTCCAGGATATCATCATCTTGTGTTTCATTGTATTGGCTTGGATACAGTCGTTCACTGGGTAAAAACTGACCACGTGTTACAGGTAATTGTTGGCGTCACCATCGCCGGCAGTCAACTGAGGTCCAGTCTGAAGTATCACAATGTCAGGTACACATAACATCTGTACAGCTACGTCTGATCGTTTTGTTGCATGAAGTATGTCACGTGGTTTACGGGCTTGTGCGCGGATCCTGGTTGGTCGGTGGGAAATAAAATAAACATAGAATGCATTTTTTAGGATCATCAGAATACATAAAGCAATAAAACCGTTTCCATAGCCACCAATAATCTCGATTTTACGTTTTTTGGCTATATCATGAGTATGTGTTTAAGAGTCAATATCAGATAGTGATGATACAAGGTGTTCGCAAGAAGGTGAGCGTACCCTGCCCCATCGGTGGCACCCGTCACAAACACATGCAAAGTCAAGTCAGTTGTTTATCTGAAAAACACGGGGACATATGTCAAAATAGCGAATTCCGTCAAACATAGTTTTTGTTACTGATGCGTCAAAAGTTTGAAATGTCCTCCACACGTCTTCCATAAAACGTTTTGAGACCTTTGACCCGTGAAGATCCGGGTTAGAATGGATCTTCAGCAACCAATGCTTGCCATAAAAGGCGACTATGCTTGTCGTAAGAGGCGACTAACGGGATCGGGTTGTCAGGCTCGCTGACTTGGTTTGATGCATGCCATCTTAACCCAATTGCGTAGATCGATGCTCATGATGTCGGTCACTGGATTGTCTGGTCTAGACTCGATTATTCAGAGACCGCTGTCATACAGCTGGAATATTGGTGTGTGCGGCGTTACAAACAACAACAAACCAACAAACTGAGGCCTTGAATGTTGCAACATTGAACGAATAGAACAAATTTTGAGTCAAATGACGCTCTTTAAAATATGGGTGAAATCTGGGATTGTACCTCTAAAGTTGAGAAAAGTCGATACCGAAGGCTGAAGTTGTTGGAATATTGCTCGAAATGTAGGACAAGTTGTTGGCTGGACAGTTGAAGTCTTGTGGATATATTTTTGTCACTCTGTAGCTTTATGTTTGAAAGAGTATCCATTCCACATCAAGCTGACACCTTATATATATTTAGTTATTTTCATGATATAGCAAAACGGTCGAACAATTGTTGCAATGTTCGCGTAGAACACAACACATACACCAAACATTGTAATCAGTATCCTAGCTTATCCATCCCAGAAAATGCCTAATCTCGTAGAAGAACCTGGACCATTTCACTGTCACATGTTTGTTCGGAGCCCGATTCAGGATACCGTAACCTACAGTTATAACAAACTCAAATGGACCACAACTTTAAGTTCGTTATAACCGTCTTTCGTTAAAAACATACATACATCTAGGCAGTAAACGCTGGGGACCAAAAATTATGTTCGTAATATCCGTGAGTTCGTTATAAGCGTATTCTACTGTACATGGCGTTGAGATAGCCATCATGCATGCGACATAAGTAATGGGTAAAAGTGATGTATCAAAGTAGACTGGTTATACACTAAAGTATGTACTTACTCATCGGTGTCTAGTGCCATAGCAAAGCTACGGATGCTATTATCGGTATAGCAATTGTTTCTTCACGATATTTACAGCTTCTTATTTGACCGGGCTGTCGGGTAGGCTGGTGGTAAGTTAAAGAGTCATGCTGAAGGTCCCGGTTTGTTTCGAAACATGGGTACCATGTGTGAAACTTATTTCTGGTGTCCCCGTCGTGATGTTGCAAGAGTATTGCTTAAAGACGCATAAAATATAACTCACTAAGGCACTATAATTTGAACATCAGTATATTTTCAAGAACTTCCCTGTTTTAACAGCTCTCCAAAACTGCTGGCTCTAGGAAAAGCTTTAGCACCGGGGTATCTGAGAATCGGAGGCTCATCAGTGGACGCGATGGTGTTTGACCCGACTCACAATATAGCCACTGGGTAGCAGTTCCAACTCCCAGGTGATAGCTGTATAAAATCGTTATATCTTCCTAGAAAAAAAGCTTATAAAAATGACTTTCACTCTACTTCCCAAAGGTACTACAGAGGCCATAATGGCTACACCGGGCTACCTGATACCAACTAAATATATAATCAATCTCCAACAAGAGTCGATTCATTTTGAATAAGCTTTTTGGTCATTCTATCAAACTACCACAGCTGTTGGTTTTCTCTGTACAAATGGAAATTTGACCGAAGTTTTATGCACAGTGGGTTCTGAAGGTTGGATTGAATTATACCTGTAGGGACATCTGACTTACAATAAAAGTTATATATTTTGCTGTACATTGAAACCTAATTTGTGCGGACCGTGGTAATATTGAAATCGCGTTTTCCGAACATCGCAGCTGAAGATGCTCACGTGTATAGAAAGGAACAGTACTTTGTTCCCACAATTAGTTAATCCGGACATTGCTTGACAGAGAACTTTGCCGAGGTTGCTGGTTGACACTGTATCAAATAACCATGTGACTGATGTATTTCTTTATTTACATAATCTTATTCCATCCGTCACTCTTTAAGATTCAGATATGAGCAAGTATGCCTGACTCATTATTGAAACTTATGAACGTGAACAACGTATTTTTAGAACATACGCAAATTGAGAAACACATATTTTCAGTAAACACCTGGGATGATCTCAACATGTATGTTCACAAGATTGGGCTAAAACTGGTGATTGGTCTCAACCTGATGCTCCGCGATGGAACTAAGTGGAACCCATCAAATGCTAAGCAGTTGCTCAAGTATTCCTCTGACAAAGGATACACTTTTGCAGGGATTGAACTGGGAAATGGTAGGTTTTGAAGCCATGTGTATGTCGCATCAACCACACCTAAATAATATCCCTGTGGGCAACAACTTAGACCTGTATGAGATGACCAAGAAAGATCGGTGGTCAGGTTGTTCATCTGCGAGCGTTCATATCGTACTCCAACAGCCTAGCCTGTCTGATCCGATTACCTTCATCCCACTGTAATATTGCTGTAAAGTTGCGGCTTTGAATAATAGACAAACACAACGTATAAATAGAGGATTATCTGCTTCATGCATATTGTCATCAGTGTTAATACTTGAAGAACGATTTAATATACAGTCAAATACCGTTGTGTACAGGTTAAAGGGGCGTACGTTAATACTTCGAGTACAACAGTGTTTGACTGTATTTTGTATATTTATTCACTTCGCGACAAATGTACCACAATTGATACAGGTTTTCCTGTCATGCTTGATGTATTTATTATCACTGTACATATTTTTCATTGAGAACCAAACTTGTACTATCGTCACTGGAATACTACTGTCAGTGATGTTCAGCTGGGAAGCGACTACAAGGAACTAAAACAAGTCCTTCAAGGAACGGCCTATAAGGACAGTCTCATCCTTGGACCTGACATAGCCGGTTATAAAGACAAGTACATTAAAACGTGTGTACCAAATCCACGTTGCACACCCTGTACAACGAGGGAATAAGCTGCATGGTGATCAGGGCTAGATTGTTGTTGTTAATCTTGTTGTTGCCATATCTATGACTAGTTTGTACTCTTATTAGCATTCTCTATGTTAGAAAAAACATCACACATCAGATGTGCTATTTGCACAAATGCTAACGACGGCAATGCTAAAGTACTTTCTTTGTCCATACCAACTCTCCAATGTGGCCGTGCATTTCCAGCTTCCTGTCCCATGGTGGAGCCAGTGTCATAGACGTATTGACCATCAATCAGTGAGTGTACTTCAGGGACTTCAGGGACATTGACTACAATACAGTTTCAATGTCACGTGTAACAATTGAGGGTCAACTTACATAGTCAGCACATTGCAGATGACAACATATATATTCCGAAATAATAGGTAGAGGTAGCAATGGGATAGTAACTGCTGTACATGTTGGTAGAATTCTAGGAAGATGGATTGAAAAGATTAAATTGATCACTCTGTGTAACTTCTATATCATCAAGAACAGGAATGTGTTAATGACTAAATAATGAGAGGGATGAAGACAGAAATGAGCATTTGTACAGCTGATTGTTGCATGTACAGAAACGCGGTGGAGATTTGCTGTATGAATTATTAATCTCTTCAGTTACTACTTTGATGGACACACCGCCAAACTGAAAGACTTTTCTAACTATTCTATAATGGATCATCTTATACCTGAACTACAGACAGTGATGAGTACGATCCGAAGCTATAATGGTCTGGTGGCGTGGTTAGGAGAGACATCGTCCGGCTATGGGGGTGGCACACCTGGCATAGGCAACAGATATGTGGCTGGCAATCTGTGAGCATTTTAGTTATCCTACTGATTTTCGAGTTATATTTCTTTCTGATTTCGATTGAAACTTTTTCTGGCTCACACAAAACTATCAAAGATCGAATACAGCATACGGATGTCAGCGGGAACATCTTCGAGGGAGTGCAAGCATACGTTGATGTAGATGCAGATTGTCAATTTATGCTTGATAGGTGGTAATGATTGGTGTTCTTATGTCCGTTGAAACTCGAAATAATGAAAAATAATTGTAAATCGTGTCGATTTGACGTGTAGAAGTTCACGTTTACACGGGTATTACATGACGCTGCTGCTGATGTCTGAAGCGCCTCTGCAAAACAATTCTATATGGCTGAAATATTGCCGATGTGACGTTAAATCTTGACTCACTCACTCACTCACTCACTCACTCACTCACTGTAAACAATTATATTTCGTTTTATTATGATGCAAAAAGTGGCATGTTTTGAAAGGATCACTGTGTGTGTATGTAATATAAAAATGTTGACTGTCATATCCTTATTCCAGGTGGCTTGATAAACTTGGTGTATCAGCAAAATACGGCTTAAAAAGAGTCCTTCGCCAGTCACTCTTCGGAGGGCATTATTCACTTATTGACAATAACAACGACCCTACCCCCGTGAGTATACGTATGTACTGTAAACATGTCCTTAGGTCACGTTAACGATCGCCAATGTCATTGTGTCGGTGCTCCGTTGTCGGAATTCCGCATCATAAAAATTCAACTGCACCTACTGTGTGCAAAGGCCGACTGCATTGGGTTTTGGGTGAGCAGGCTGTTTGACTTGCATCATCCTATCACAGCATCAACTGCTGGTTTACATGTCAAGACACATTTGACAGCTTAAAGTACAACATTGCCTCTCTTATAGTGACGCACACCATAATGCCTTTTGACAGGACTACTGGTTGACGCTTCTTTACAAGAGACTTGTTGGCAACAAGGTATTTGATGTTCCATCTTCATCTAACAACCTCCGTCTGTATGCCCACTGCACGAACCTTAACAAGTGAGTTGTTTAGTCACACACTTTATTCTAAACCTCTTGAAATAGTTTACTAGCAAGCGTTCACCTAAATTGCACACAGACATTTTCCAACCTTCAAACAATTTACGAAATACCCATGACATCACAGTAGAAATCACAGACACAACCAACATTATAGCAAGGAATTAGAGTGAGTGATCGAGTTCAGTTCAACGCCGAATTTGAACACTATTCAAGTTATATCACGGCGTGTTATGGTATGGAAGCAAAGCACAAAGTGATGCAGGTTTAAAACCTCTTGTGAAACCCACGAGCACCGGTATAGCCCTGACAAACCTAGAAACAAATTGGGGTGAATTCGGGATTTGAACCCACGATCATTGGTTTATTGCGAGACCAAGGGATGAAACTCTGCACAGAGAATTGTCGTGCCCTACACGAGACCCGTACCTCCACTGAAAAGTAGTGCATGGACATGCTTGGAAGACATGGATACATTTAATTAAAGTAAATGTACTATTTGGTTTTTCAGAGACAAATAATGATGATCCCAGAAAAGCAATATTCTAACTCCTCCGTAGCACTACTTCAAAATACTTTTCAAACAAAGTCAACATTCCAAAATATTCAAGGTAAACTTCATAGATCTGGTACGCATTTCATCTAATTGTGTGAATGTTCTACATGCAATAAATGTATGTTTAACACAACAACAACAACATTATATCAAAGTTAAGATGGACACAAACATTGAAATTAACAACACAATTACACCTTTGCAAAAAGCTCTCAGCTCATTGACTCTTATGATATCCTTACATGTCGCCAACTGAATTGTACAGAAAGTTCACAAAATGGCAATTTGGCAAATCAAATGGCTAGATTTCTTGGATATGCATATGTCCTGAATACATTTCATTCGAGTTCACAAGCCACAAAGCCCTTTTTCCATGTAATGTTTTTATTTCATGTGACAATCCTGTGGTTGCCAGCAGAATCTACGTATAGTGACTATGCAAGTGAACAGAGCGATTGTGACCTAACAAACAAATGACGTCAGATCACACAAAATGACGTCATGTCCGTCATTTGCATGGACGGTAAACAAAACAGCGGCTGGCAAAACAAATAACTGGAATTCACGAACGTAATGTTAAAAATCATATATACTGACATTTGTTATGACATCATCGGTTATGTTTCAGCGTGTACAACTACATGCCTGGCAGTATAACAGTGTATGCCCTTAACCTAAATAGTGACCCCGTAATCCTTACCATATCGGATCTCAACATCAAAAGCGTGGACATATTCTGGCTGACTCCAGAGGGAGGAGATTTGAAATCACAGTTTGTATATAATTTGTTTTCTTTCAACCATTTAGCTTAATGATTTTTCAAGTATCACAAACTCATCAGTCAGAAAATATTTCATTGTGAATGTTGTCAAATGCCGAGGATAATGATAAGAGGCACTGACATAGGTGAGTAATATAAGACCATTTGCTGATGACACATCTTTGTATGTGATCATAGGAGATCCTGGTATAGCTGCTCATGGTCTAAATAATGACTTGGACAGAATTTCGGAATGGGCTGCTAGATGTCAAGTTACATTTAGTCCCGACAAATCTTAATCTATTCAATTTACCCTTAAAGTAAACCCAAGTCGCAAACCTAATTTATATATGAAAGGTACACAAATCGATGATGTGCAAAGTCATAAGCACATTGGTATTACTTTACAAAGCAATTGTACATGGAAAATGCACATTGATGATATTGTTAGGAAATGTTATCCTCTGGTTAATTGTTTAAGAAGTTATAAATATCGTCTATTACGAACTACCTTAGAAACTATGTACAAATCATTTAATTTACCAATTTTTTATTATTGTTACAACTGTACCAATGAACAAGCTTACGTATTGGAAAAAGTACATGCTCTCAGAACCATATTTGGCGCTGTCAAAAGTACGAGTCATCAGGAGATTTACAATGAAAGTAATTAAAAGACAGAAGATACAGTTCAAAAGTGGTTATATTTTACAAAATGAATAACCATTTCTCCCCGGAATATCTTTGTAGACTTATTCCTAATACAGTTTCGGAAAACACAAATTATGACTGAAGGGATAAAACTAATCTTCAAACAGCGAAGTGTAAAAAACAAAAGCTTATACAGATGCATTTATACCAGTTACAACACAACTTTGGAAGATGTTACCAGAAAACCTGACGGGGGCCGTTACACAATTTAAGAATTTGCTTCACGTAATGGGAGATAATGGTATACACTGGGATTTAAAGTATGGAAGCAGATTATGTCAAATTATTCACAGTCGCCTCAGGCTTGGCTGCAGCGATCTTATCGCAAATCAGTATGATAGATATATCTTTGACACAAAAACTTGTCCCTATGGATATCATACCGAAGATACTTTACACTTACTTTTTGTGTGTACACATTACTATGTTCTTCGAAATGAAATGTATTTTTACCAACATTGTTTTTTTTTACAAACAGTGCTATGCGGAAATTCGTATTTGAATAAGGGAGAGCAAATTCTGATATTAGATTCTTTTCAAAACGTCATATTAAAAACTGTTCAGTTAAATGAATTGCTTAATATAAACTGCAAATAGACTTGTATATACACATCCAGCTTGACATGTACAATTCATTTGTTACATCTAACCTTCATTGATGTATTTATTGTAATATGTCCTATGTGTAATGGAGCGGTATAAACATAAGCGCTTCCCTTGTTTTCCAATCCATTTTCACATTTTTGTGAAAATACATATGTTTAAACCACATGGGTGAGTGTATGTTGAGTTGCTGAAGTTTATCTGAGCACACACACACACCATGGAGACAGGACAAACTGCAGGTCCATATGAAACAAATAATTGATATAATGTGCAACTTCCCCTTGGCTAGGCTTTGGAGTACGATATGAGTGAGTGAGTGAGTTGGGTTTAACGCCGCTTTTAACAGTATTCCAGTTATATAACGGTGTGTCAGCTTTATGTGGGAGGGAAGCCCGAAGTGATGCAGGTCTCAGACGTTTGCCACTTTGGTGAAACCGACGAGCATGTGTATGGTGCTGACAAACCTAGAAATCGGGATTCGAACCCACAATCACAGGTTTCTTGCGTGCCCAAGAGACGCAACTCTGCACAGCGAATCGCGGCGACTGAAAGAACAGAAATATGATCAATGCATAATGTGCTGACAAATAAAACAGTTTTGATTTATTTTTTCCAGAAAAGTACAGCTCAATGGCAAGACACTGGAACTTGTCCACAACCACATACCACACATGACACCAAAAACTTTGGGAACTGGGACAATGAGAGCACCTGGATTTGGGTTCATCGTTATTCCCGACGCCAACATAGCGGCATGCCGCCCACAAAGCCATGGTCCCATTATCGGATAATTGAACCAGCATTCTGTTTTCCTCAACGTTTTAATAAACGTTTTTTTCAGAAACGCCATGATGTTTGTGTTTTTAAAATGTAGGCGTGTGTTGAAATATGTTAGACAAAAAACATAGCAAACTGAGCAAACCAATGAATAACTGACATTTACGGAACAAAAGGTTTTCCAAAACAAATCTCCTGTTTCAAAGAAGACATAAGACGGTTGTTTACCTCCATATTTCACAGGCTGCGTGATGGGCGGATCCAATAACCCTGTGCTTATTAATCGTTATCAAATGTTTCATTCACTCTGAAAGCTGTTACCTTGATTAAACAACTTTTGAGCAAGAGTCGTTTGACGCTCTAGGGAATGTTATTTGAAACTACATGGGGACGGATGTCATCTAAAACTAAAATGTTAAAATTAAGCTTAATAATGTTGTTGGTGGCGTAAAATAAAGAAAACATGGATATATATTTTGAAACACCAGTTGTTTGGTGTGCTTCCAATTGTTGTACTAATCAGGCAAACACAGTTTGAAAAAAGACTGTGCTCGAAATTTAATTCTTGTTTCACATTTTGTGAAATATAGGTAAAAGGGTAACAGCCAATAGATGACAGATCAATACTTTTTACTTAATAAATTAAAGAAGAAAATAAAACACTCTGGACAAAAATGCAAACCTGAAAATTAAGAAATAGTCACAAAAGGCTTATGTAAGAAATGCATAGACACATATTAATCATAGTGTTTTGTGGCAGTAGAGATTGTTGTTGGTTAATTCCTGGGCATTGTCAGTTGCAGCAAACGACTGAGGCGCTCATATAATATCAACAGCTGCAGTGAAGATGTACCCGGAAATGTGATTAGTTGTTGAGGACAGCACTTGAAAGTTCGAGGGGTTTTGTGACGAGACATATTCTAAAAGTCTGGCCGGCATGATGCGGGCGATTTGAGGCCTTTAACGACATGCATCTACTTGCACAGTGCAGAAGGAATACCTAACTCAAAACACCAGAAACCTGCGGGCATCCAACACTTTTCCGGTTTCAACTAAGGCGGGCACTCGTGAAGAGCAACCTCCTCGTGGTGAGTGCTGGGTAATGCTAATCGCTCTTCCCCCGTGTGGAACCGGGGCAGAATATTTCCACAGCCTCCCATTGCTGGTCGTATGAGGCGACTAAAATGGGCAACCTGTTTGCCGTGGGTTGCGTCCCTGTGTCGGCGGAGGACGGGAGTCTGGTAGTTGAGGGCACTGGTTCCTGGAACTGTGTTCCTTTGCCCAACACACTACTTCGACCCTTACTTCGCCTAGACGGGTGGTAAGATGGGCCCGGTCTTATCAATCGGCTGGTCATGCCGGGCCCTGTGCGTAATATTGTGTATGCACACCTGTGTTGTATTATAATGTGTATTTTGGTCTTGGCCATGCATACTTTGTATGAATTAACACTTTTGGATGAAATAAATTGCCTAGAGTCTTACGCCAGAAGGCGGTGGCTCATGGGCCAATCTGGTAATGTTGACCGCTGAATTCTGTATGTCTCTAAATTATTGTTATTCGCAGAACCAGCTTGGCAATAAATTTAGTAGACAAATATAGCTATTTATGTCATATTTGCTGGAGTATAACACCCCTGTAGCCCTGGTGTTTGCATTTTGGATATCCAATGCAATAAGACACTGTCCTTGTTGACACTCGCTGGTGGGTGGGGAGCAGGGGTGCAGAACCACTTCCTTTCATTATGTCAAAAAAACACTCTGGTTCGAAAAGAAAACATCTAGATGCTAGCTCATCTGATGACGAAACTGATCTGCAATTAGATTCCTGGGCTCGGTTCATTGTAATCGAGGCTTCTGATCATCAGCCTTTGAAATTGAACCCATTTGCTATTTCTAAGGCCATCAATGGTTGTTGTGATACGGTTGACAATGTTACCCGCCTCCGTAATGGCTCCATTCTTGTGGAATGTGCCAGGAAACAGCAATCTCTAAACCTTTTGTCCATCAGCCAGTTTGCAAATGTAGAGGTTGCTGTTTCAGCACATAGAACATTGAACTCGTGTCGAGGCATCGTGAGAGACAGAGCCCGATGTTTAGCTGACATGAACGAAGATGAGATTGTGACCGAACTAACCAAACAAGGTGTTACAGCTGTCAAGCGTTTCACCAGAAAACAGGATAATAACATCATCCAGACAAACACCTATCTTTTTACTTTTTCCCTTTCAACAATTCCAAAATCTATCAAAGCTGGGTACTTTAATATCGGAGTGGAAGTTTATGTTCCAAACCAACTCCGATGTGATAAATGTCAACATTTTGGACATGGTGCCAAGACCTGTACTCTCAGAACTGTCTGTGTGCGCTGCAGTGGCTCTCATGAGAACACTGAGTGCACTGATGCCATTAAGTGTGCAAATTGCGATGGGGACCACTTGGCCTCATCCAAAAATTGTCCACACTTTCACCTTCAATCTCAAATACTAAAAATTAAACACACCAACAATATCTCTTTTTATGATGCTAAAAAGCTAGTTCAGTCACAATCTCCGAATAACTCAACAAAATCATACTCAGCAGCAGCAACTGTCACTCCTGTTGTCAAGGCTACAACAGTATCTGTAGGATGCCAAACAACCATCTCTTGGGTTTGTAATCAGCAGATGCTACAGGACAATACAGCTCAAACATCTTCAAGTGCAACAACACGAGCAACTTCAGCTTCACAGACGGAGCTAGTGGAATCCAGCAGAACAGACCCAAAATCATCTACAATTATTGAAGACATACCTTTAACTAAAACTGAAAAAAAGAAACTGAAAAAAACGGCCAGGGCCCTCCAACACTTGGAGGTGCCTTCTTCTGAGCCTACACCTGTTAAGGTTCAAAATCAATTTGAACCTTTGGCGATGGAGGTCACTCCTTCTCCAACAGGCCATGGGAGTGGACCTCCCTCCCGCTCCAGAACCCCAGTAGAACCACCATGACCTGTTCTAACCTGATAATACAATGGAATTGCAGGGGACTAAAAAACAATTTTAATGATTTGCAGCTATTAACACAAGATTTCAAGCCATCAGCCTTTTGTTTGCAGGAAACGTACTTTAAAACTACTGATCAACTAAACATTAGACACTACGACTCCTATCATTTCTTTTCACCTCCAGGGGCTAAAGCCACTGGAGGTTCTTCAATCTTGGTGAGGCAGGGTGTTATTCATAGCCCTGTTCCTCTCAATACCCCTCTACAAGCTACCGCAGTTCGTATCACTATGCACATTGTTTTTACTCTGTGCTCTCTTTACATTCCTCCATCTACATCTCTTCAGCAAACCGATCTTCAAGCTCTCTATGACCAGCTTCCTAAGCCCTGTATTATCATGGGCGATATGAACGGTCATAATCCACTTTGGGGTAGTGATCGTACAAGTAGTAAAGGCAAGCTCTTAGAAGATTTTATTTCCAACAATAATCTATGCCTTTTTAACGATAATTCCAACACATATTTACATCCTGGTACAGGCACTTACTCTTCTTTGGATTTGTCTATTACTGATTCAAAACTGTTGAATGAATTTGAGTGGCTGGTCCACGATGACCTCTGTGGAAGTGACCACTTTCCAACCATATTAAATCCTATTACCCCATCTGATGTTCCTCCATCATCTCGATGGAACTTTACAAAAGCCAACTGGCCTCTATATGCCATTCTCTGTACAGAAAAACTAACACCTGATCATTTCACTGACGTTACTGACTCAATACAATGTTTTTCTGATGAACTTATCAATATAGCTGAAAAATGTGTTCCTAAGTCCTCTGGAATTCCCCACATACGTAAACCATGGTTTACCGATGACTGCAAGCAAGCTAGGAAGGCGAGGAAAAAGGCTGAGCGTTATTTCCGTCGCCATCCTATGGTCCATAACTTAAACAAATTTAAAATATTAAATGCTAAGGCAAGGCGAACATTTAAACAAAGTAAACGCCAATCTTGGCGACATTATGTGTCAAAAATAAATTCTCGGACGCCCATGTCCAAGGTATGGAACATGGTCCAAAAAATCAAAGGTAAGGGCACTAAATCTAGTATTCACCATCTTAAAGATGGGGACCAACTCCTAACTCATAAATCAGATATTGCTAATAAAATTGGTGAAACTTTGGCAAAACACTCTTCCTCATTAAACTATGTACCTCAATTCCAAAAGTATCAAAAACAGCAAGAAAAGAAACCTATTAATTTTAATTCAGATAATGGGGAAGATTATAATGAACTATTCTCTATTCATGAACTCCATACTGCCCTTGAACAAGCTCACGATACTGCTACAGGAGCTGATAACATACATTATCAACTCCTGAAGCACTTACCCGAATCTTCCTTAGAAACACTATTGAATATTTTTGATGTCATTTGGACCTCAGGGAAGTTCCCTCCTTCGTGGCGTGATGCTATTGTTGTCCCGATACCCAAGCCCGGTCGAGATCATACTGACCCATCAAATTACCGACCAATATCATTGACAAGCTGCGTTTGCAAAACCATGGAACGCATGATAAACAATCGTCTCGTATGGTACCTGGAATCCAATAATCTTATTACTAATATACAATGTGGTTTCCGGAAAAACAGAAGTACCATCGACCATTTGGTTCGCTTAGAATCATTTGTAAAAAATGCAATAATAAATAAACAACATGCAGTGGCTATCTTTTTCGATCTAGAAAAAGCATATGACACTACATGGAAACATGGTATTTTAAAAGATTTACATGACTTTGGATTACGAGGCCGTTTGCCTCAATTTATATCTGAATTTTTAACTGACAGGCACTTTCAGGTCCGCGTGGGTTCTACCCTGTCTGATCATTATAATCAGGATCAGGGTGTCCCACAAGGTAGCATCTTGTCTGTCACATTGTTTAGTATTAAGATAAATAGTTTGTCCAAAGTTTTAAATGATTCGATTGATGGATCGCTCTTTGTGGATGATTTTAATATTTCGTGTCGTGGCAAAAACATGCA